CACCAAGAAGGGCAAATGACACTTAGAGGTACACCAAAACTCCTATCTTTGCAAGCAGGATCAAATTAAATAAAGGATTAGCAAGAGCAGATGATAGTAATGGCCATGTGCCCAAGCAACCAAGCTGAGAGAAGAATCCTTGACATGTGCTCCTCTGGAATGACAGGGTGGTGCTTGGCACAGTGTGAAGAGCCTGCTGGGGACACCCCTGCATTCCACACTGGGCCTGGGTTCAGGTCCTGACTTCGCTTCTGATTCTAGCTTCCTGCTAACGCACACTCTCGGAGGCAGCAGGTGACAGCTCAAGTTGCTGAGTCACGGCCACCCACGTGGGAGACCACCATGGAGTTCCTGATTCGCCACTCAGCCTGGCCCAGCCCTTGGTGTCTGGGAAGTGAATGAGTGGGTGGAAGCCTTGTCTCTCTCTCTGCCTATCAAATATAAGATAAATGAACAATTTTAAAATTTCTTTGGATTAAGAATTCATTATTTAAACCAGTTATCTTCTTGGTATCCATTTTAAGACATTTCCTTCTATGCATATCATAAAAGACATCTTGTGGAGTAATTAAAGAAAGACTATTGCAGTCTACTTTCCCCTAATGAAAATGTCCTTAAAGTTTTCTCATTTCTGATTTTTTAAAAAGGATTATTTATTTATTTGAAAGGCAGAGTTACAGAGAGGCAGAGGCAGAGAAAGAGAGAGGTCTTCCATCCGCTGGTTCATCCCCCCAAATGGCCACAATGGCTAGAGCTGAGCCAAGCCGAAGCCAGGAGCCAGGAGCTTCTTCTGGGTCTCCCATGCAGGTGCAGGGGCCCAAGCACTTGGACCATCTTCCACTGCTTTCCCAGGCCGTAGCAGAGAGCTGGATTGAAAGTGGAGCAGCCGGGACTTGAACCAGCGCCCATTTAGGATGCAGCACTGGCCTGTGGCGTTCATACCCACTACACCACAGTGCTGGCCTCTCATTTCTGATTTTAATCCAACTAAAACTTACTAAGTCCTATTCTGTTGGATGCTGGAGACTGAAAGATGAACAAGACAAGGCCTTTGCCTTCAAGGAGCCTGCAGTCCAGTGGACGGACGGAAGCCACAGCACAAGCCCTGCCCTGGCATGCTCAGCACAGCAGCATCTGAGAAGGCTGACCGCCTCCCTCCTCACACACACACGCCGCTGCCCCCTCCACACGTCAACCTGCCTCCCTTGGATCTAGGCTGGCCTTGGCACCTGCCTTGGCCAGTGGTTCAGGGACTCCCAAGGTTGAGACTGTGCATTGTGCTGAGGTCTCACGGAGCCCTGAGCAGCCAGGTAAGACCCACGCCAGCCATGTGTTCAGGCTGCTTCCGAGGGAGGAATGCCCGAGCAGCGCCAGGCTGTGCCAGTGCAGGTGCCAGGCACATGGGGGAGTCTGCAGAAGAAGTGTCCCACAGAACCCAGGCTGTCCACTGAACTGTCCCTCCACCTCTAGACTTTATCCTGTGGCTCGGTAGTCTCTATGAGATGACAAGCTGAGAACTTTTACTAATTTTTTTTAATCTGAAATTAGGAAACCAGTCATGTTTTACTGAGACTCAACACAAGGCCTGAGGCTGGCACCCTCTTGTTAGATTGTAGCTTGGTCCCAGGTCATGCTCAGTGTGTGCACCAAGTTGAAGGAGAGGCAGAGAGGGAGGGAGGGGAGGCTGACAGTAGAGCTTTCAGCACCCTCTCATGAAGTTTTGAATTTTATTATCTCACGGAGAGTGTCACCTGCACTGAGCATCAGCCTGAGCTAGGCCATGGCCACTGTGCCCCTTAAAGATTTGTCCCTCATCTCACAGGGAAAGTTGTTTTTTGTTTTGTTTTGTTTTTTTTTTTTGACAGGCAGAGTTAGACAGTGAGAAAGAGAAAGAGAGAAAGAGAAAGACAGAGAGAGAGAGAAAGGTCTTCCTTTTTCCATTGGTTCATCCTCCAAATGGCTGCCACAGCTAGCACACTGTGCCGATCTGAAGCCAGGAGCCAGGTGCTTCTCCTGGTCTCCCATGCGGGTGCAGGGCCCAAGCACTTGGGCCATCCTCCACTGCACTCCCGGGCCACAGCAGAGAGCTGGACTGGAAGAGGAGCAACTGGGACAGAATCCGGTGCCCCAACCAGGACTAGAACCCAGTGTGCTGGCGCCGCAGGCAGAGGATTAGCCTAGTGAGCCGTGGCGCCGGCCAACAGGGAAAGTTCTTATAAAAGCTGTTGAACACATGATGAATTATTCATTTTTCTTTTTTATAGAAAGACCAATGTTCTCAATTTGGTGTGATGACAAGCGGCTGAATCCACACACTCATTCAGCAGGTAGTTACTGCACAAATATTTACTCTGTGGCAGGTGCACATGGTACAGGCAAGCTTGGTAGTCACCTAGAAAACATCAGCGTGGCCCATATTCCTTGCGTCCACTGTGAAATGTTTTCACCATCACCCTTTGAGCTGTCCATGAAGAAAAACTCTCACCCCCATGCAGAGACACAACGTGAGGAACATTAGCAAGTGAACAACACAGTACATCAGAGGGAGACAGGGCTATAGAGAAAACAGAGAGCCCAGCTGTGCTCCCAGGGGGTACGGGAGGGGAATGCACAGGTGCACCTGAGCTTGTACACAGGGAGGTCAGGGAAAGCCTCCAAGGGGGTGAGGAACAAGCCAGGTGGACATCTGGGGAGCAGTGGGCTAGACCAAGAGCAGAGCACAGGGCCAGCACTGTGGCGCAGGAGTAAAGCCCGCTGCCTGCAGTGCCACCATCCCACATGGGTGCCAGTTCGAGTCCCGGCTACTCCACTTCCAATCCAGCTCTCTGCTAATGGCCTGTGAAAGCAGCAGAAGATGGCCCAAGTGCTTGAGCCCCTGCACCTCTGAGGGAGACCCGGAGGAAGCTCCTGGTTCCGGTCTTCAGATGGGCGCAGCTCCAGCCGTTGCAGCGAATTGGGGAGTGAACGAGAAATGGAAGACTCTCTCTCTCTCTTTTTTTTTTTTGACAGGCAGAGTGGACAGTGAGAGAGAGAGACAGAGAGAAAGGTCTTTCTTTTGCCATTGGTTCACCCTCCAATGGCTGCCGCAGCTGACGCACCGCGCTGATCCGAAGCCAGGAGCCAGGTGCTTATTCTGGTCTCCCATGGGGTGCAGGGCCCAAGCACTTGGGCCAGCCTCCACTGCACTCCCTGGCCACAGCAGAGGGCTGGCCTGGAAGAGGGGCAACCGGGACAGAATCCGGCGCCCTGACCGGGACTAGAACTCAGTGTGCCGGCGCCGCAGGCAGAGGATTAGCCTAGTGAGCCGCGATGCCGGTCTCTCTCTCTCTCTCTCTCTGCCTCTCCCTCTCCTTTTCTCTCTGTGTAACTCTGATTTTCAAATAAATAAATAAACTTAAAAAAAAAAAAAAAGGAGCAGAGCACACAGGCCTCCCAGGGGAGTAGAAGCCACTGGGAGTGGGGAGTTGGGGAGGGGAGGAGGTTGCGGCACAGCGACTCACAGTTTGGGAGCTGACTGGGAGGAGGCAGAAGACAATGTTAGGGTGCCATGGTCAACAGTAGACCCTCAGCGCTTACTTTAGGAAGGAAGATACGAGGAGTCTCCAAAAAGTTAGCAGAAAATGCATAGTAAGAAAAAACTATTTAAGGAGTTCAAAATTTTTGCACCAAAATAAACTTACCTTTAACTCCACTCCATCAACTTTTTGAAGGCCCTGTACCTACTGTCTGCTCAAAGGAAAAGAGATATTTTGCCACTGAGTGGAGGATTACCTACTATTTGAAAGCACCACGCCCTGAGGCAAGAACTTGGAATAGAAATGTCGGGAAATGCTGCCTTTGTATGGGGATTTACAGGTGAAGGTGAAGACGGCAGGTAGTTTCAGAAAGCTCCTGTATTGGTACCACCAAAAAACTCATAAACTGCTTCTAACCTTCCTAATAAAGATTTTAGCTCATTTTCAACCTGCCTGTTAAAAAACAACAAAGCAACAACGGGTTGGACATCAGGAAGGATGGAAATTTCTAGTCAGTGTCAACAAGAACCATCATAGAACTGGTGGCTCAGAATGAAAACAGTGCAAGTGTCCAGATGTGGTAGCTAGGACAGCAGTCTATGCTTCTTGACTGAGTTTTGTCTTCAGCTGTGAACACAGCAGCAAAATAAACTGAGCTTAGAAGGAGCCCCCCTTGGAATCACCGAGTCACAGAAACATTAAACCAAATCGCTAAAAACAACACAGCACATTTATTCCCACTGTACTCACTCAACTACCGTTAATATCCTAGTAAAACAATTGTTTACTACAGATATAAAATATTTCAAATCATTATTTATTTCCTCTTTGTCACCTCCTTCAAAATCCTCCTTACTGAGTACACTTTGGAGAGTCATCAAGTTTAGAGGGGCCTTCAAAAAGTTCATGGAAACTGTAATTAAAAGTATGAGTTTACTTTTGTGCAAAAACTATTTTAAAATCTAAAACACACATTTTCCATGTACTATGAAAAAAATCTGAAAAAAATATTTTTGGACTAAAATAAACTCATTCTTTTTTCCTATTTTTTTTTATTTTTAAAAACATTTTCTTGGAGCTGGCGCTGTAGCACGGCAGGTAAAGTGGCCATCGGAGACTCTAGAATCCCATAGAAGTGCCAGTTCAAGTTCCAGTTGCTCTGATCCAGCTCCCTGCTAATGCACCTGGGAAAGTAGCAGAGGATAGCCCAAGTTCTTGGGCCCCTGCATCCATGTGGAAGGCCTGGAAGAAGCTCTGGGCTCCTGGCTTCCATCTGGCCCAGCTCTGGCCTTTGCGGCCACTTGGGAAATGAACCAGCGGATGGAAGATCTCTCTTCTCTGCCTCTCCCTCTCTTTCTCCATGACTCTGTCTTTGAAATAAATAAAATAAATCTTAAAAATTTTTTTTTTCTTTTTTCTTTCTCTTTTATCTGAAAGGTAGACACTCCCCCCCCCACCCCCCCACCCCCCACGGGAGCAGGGACAGGCAGAGAGAGATCTTCCATCTGTTGGTTTACTCCCCAAATGGCCACAACAGCCAGTTCTGGGCCAGGCTGAAGCCGGGGGTGCAGAAATCTGGGTCTCCCTTGTGAGTGGCAGCTACTCAAGTACTTAAGCCATCACCTGCTGCCTTCCAAGGTGCACATTACCAAGAAGCTGGAATCGGAAGCAGAGCCAGGACTTGAACCCAGGTATTTTGTTACGGGATGTGGGTGTCCCAATTGGTGTCTTATGCACTGTGCCAAACACTCATTGTTTTAGTTCTATTTCCATGAACTTTCAAGGTCTCTCTCATATACAGAACCTGTATATACTTGAAAATACATTGCACGTTTGAATGATATGCTAAAACATTTTAGTCTTTTTGATTTTAAGAATTCCTGCTTTATTTATTTGAGAGGTGGAGAGAGAGAAAAAAAGAGAGAGAGAGAGAGAGACTCTAGTTGGGAGCTGGGAAATCAGCCCAAGTCTCCCACATGGGTAGCAGGAACCCTCCTCCTTGAGTCACCACCACCCTTTCCTCCCGCGGCTGGAGTCAGGAGCCGGAGCCGGAGCTGGGAAGCCATCCCAAGGACTCTGATATGGGATGTGGGTGTCTCAGCTGCTAGGCCACACACTCATCCCTTATCCATCGTCTGATGGGATCTGTAATGAGAAAGTCTGACTATTTCTGAGGCAGGCAGTGGACTCCAGGTGGGCGTCCTCGCCCCTGATGTGAGGACTGTGTGACAGTCCAACCTCCATCCCCTCCCATGGAATAAAATGAGGAAGAGCAAGATCTTCCCCAAACTGGGGAAAAAAAAAAAAAAAAAAAAAGGCCTCAGCTACTCCGACTATGGGATTTTATAGAACCAACTGTAACTAGCTGGCTGAAATGTTTTCTTGCAAAACAAACAAAAGTTTACAGAATTTTTTGGAAATTTCCAGCCTATCAAGTTGTAGATGCCACACAGCTGATAACTAAGAGTTATAGAGAAGGGAGGGGGGCTGGTGCAGTGGCTCAGCAGGTTAAAGTCCTGGCCTACAGTGCCAGCATCCCAAATGGGCGCCGATTCTAGTCCCAGCTGCTCCTCTTCCTATCCAGCTCTCTGCTATGGCCTGGGAAAGCAGTAGAAGATGGCCCAAGTGCTTGGGCCCCTGTACCCACGTGGGAGACCCAGAAGAAGCTCCTGGCTCCTGGCTTTGGATTGGCGCAACTCCAGCCGTTGTGGCCAATTGGGGAGTGAACCAGTGGATGGAAGACCTCTCTCTCTCTTTCTCTCTACCCCTCCTCTCTCTGTGTTAACTCTGCCTTTCAAATAAATAAATAAATAAACGAATCTTTAAAAAAGAAAAAAAGACAGGGAGGATGATTTACAGCTGAAGATGGTCTTTTCCCTTCCAGCTCTTCTACTAGAGCTGGGTGCTTACTGACTAGACTGGGAGTGGCATCCACCCCATGTGACAGCGGGAATCCACAGGCTGGCTGGGCTGAGAAGTCCCTCAAGGCAAGGCCACTTGCCTCTGTCTCCTATGCTGTGGATGTGGGCTGAAGGAAGCATACAGAAGCACGCCTGCCCCCAGCTGCCCCTCTGTGCGAAACAGCCTGGGACCTGGGATGCTCTCCTAGCGGGGCCTGGGCAGATGGAGCCACTGCTTGGGTTTACAGAGAAGCAGTGCTGGGCCTGGCCCTCCCCTGCACTGCCACATCCATCAGCCACGAAGGTCCAGTGTCCCGGCCTCAGCGACAACACTAGAGATGCGGAGACAGGTCTCGGGCTGCTCCGTGTTTCTCCTCCAGGGGCAGGTGGTTTACTGTCCTGCTGAGTTAAGTCAGTGACATTTCAGTGACACAGCCGGTCGATGGGACAAACCCACTGAGGAAGCTGGGGGCGCGGCCTACACAGACACAGGGACACCGCTGCATTGACAGTTGTGCCAGGGCTCACCTGCGACCTTACTTAATCTTCACAGCCTGAAGAGTGATGGGGCGGCGGGGGATGGGGGGGCAAATTAACTCCAAGGAAAGGAGTGATTGAGGAGTATAGGCATCTATGTCGGAGGAAGCCAATGAATTAAAAAGAAAGCATGTCCTATTCTGGTCTGAGCCAAGGCCAACACTCCAGAGAGTCTGCGATTCTACGAGAAGTGGAGTGGTTTATATGAAGTGTGTTCCTTACTCTGGCTTTCTGCACAGATGACATCTGATGAAATCACAGCGCACGCACATGCAGGGATAATCTGCTTCTTTTTATTCAGATACGTTAGATGCTGTTTTCTGACAGAGCCGTCAGACGTGTGCGCATGTGCGGAGAATGTCCTGTTTGGGCAGGCAAAACTTCTGATTGTTCACAATTCATGAGTGGATAGCACTTCTGAGACATGCTAAAGAGCCTTTTCTTTAAAGGGGTTAAAAATCCAGCGAAAATACTTCTTAAATTTGAAACTAACTCACAGTTTCCCTGAGAGTCACATTAAAATCGGTTTCTCTGGAATACAAACCGAATTTAAGTTCAACTTATTTAATTTTAAATGTGGGAAGAAAACACACCTCCTGTTTATTTTTCTCACAGCCAAGCTGAACTCGCAGCACAAAAATAAGACGTGATGACAATTTCCACCTTCTTCACAGGGAGACTTGGGTTCTCTCTCGGGTGTTAGAGGCAGAACATAATGGCAAGTGGGAGCAGCCCCTCCCCGTCGACTCCACGCCTTCTTTAAATTCCACTGAGGATGGCAGTTTGGACGGAGACCCCAAAATCTATTCTGTCCATCTGTTTTATTATTCTTAGAACAACTGTCAAAAGTTGCCCAGGGATCAAGTTGCAAACATACTAATTTGCCTTTGAAAAGTAGGCCCTGGGGGAATTCTGGAACTCTGCTTATAAATTCAGAATCCCATCAGCGGCGAGCCGGCCCTACCCTTTGTGGAGGTATGAGTCTCTTGCACTTCCAGGCATACATCTGCCTCAAAGCCAGGATGCCCTGATACACTCACATCCCACTTCATAGGCAAATGAAGGGCCGGCCACGGGGAGCTGGCATCTGAAGGGCTGGCGTGCTCCCTGACAAGCGGGCCCTGAGTTTTTAGGAGGCAGCCCCTTCATTGATCCTTGGTGGATTAAGAACGAAAGCTTTGTCCTGGAGAGTCTAAATGAGAGGACCCGGCCGCGGGACACACGTATTCTGTCCTCTCCTATCCTAGGGCCAAATAGGAAGATGGAAGGCTGTGATGGTGTATTACGTTGAAGAAGGCGAAAATCCCAAGCCACCGAACACTGTATTGTCTCCATTTAGAAGGTCATTCAGGCCCAAGACTATCAGATGTCGGTTTGTAAGGAATAATGAGGAACGGCCAAAGAAGGGAACGTGCATCCGGGCTGCAGATGGCTGGCACACTGGGCCCCTGATCACAGGCCCTTCCCTTCCCCACCCCTGTCCCCAGGGCCTCCACCTAACCCTTGGAAAGCACAAGGCATCACAGAGCCATGTGAAGCAAGCACCCGTTTTTAAGAGTGTGGTCCTAGACTAGAGAGGACATTCTTTCAGGGCTGACATGATGGCATTCGGGTTGTATTCACCCACAGATTACCAAGGAAGCTTTGATTAAAAATCTTCCTAGCCTGCTGCAGATCACCCCGGCCGGAAGCCTGCTGGGACTCGCTGCGTACACTAAGGCAGGCGGCACAGAAGGGATCACCAGTTGGACTGGCCTGCTTTGTCCTTCTCTGGCTTTGCACAGTCTCTTATGATAATAAAGCCTGCATTATCCCTTTTTTTTTTTTTTTTAGAGATTTGAATAACAGAAAGTCTCATTCTCAAAATATTGCTTATAATCCCGGAGTCCACTAAATGTTCTGAGGATGCTGTTTAAGGCACTCTGCTCCTTTCAGAATGGGGCTGGTCATTAGTGGACTGAAATTTGATTAATGTTGGATTAAGAGGTTCTGATGTCTCCCAGCAGTGCGCTAGCTCAGTCTGTGGCTACTGGAGGAGTCCCTCTTTGGGAAACTTCTTCCTTCCCCTTTCCTAAATGGGAAGAAACTCTGATTTTTTTTTTTTTTTAAAGAGAATGCAGTTTGTATTCAGCAGTTTGTAGGTTTTTTTTAAAAATTTTTTCTTTTTCTTCTTCACTTTTTTTGGTTGTTCGTCTTCTCACTTTGAAGCTGGAGCTTCAGTGAATTAACTGTTTAAGAGAAACAACAATGCACACCAGCAATGACAGGTTCTCTTTAAATGTGGGGGAGGCCGTGCTTGCTGGCTGCATCCTGGCACAAGAACTCTGAAAGCGAACCTACGGCCATCGCGGATAAATATCAAAGTCTGTGAAAATGACCACCAGATAACATGCGAGGATAACCCTGAAAATTTATCCTGCTTTGTGCATTTTAAAGTGAGGGATCCCTCTATGACTGCCGTCAGGACTGGGAAAACGTCTGTAGCCGACAGACTTTTCTCCACACTGCGTGGTCCATGTTTCTTCCCCACCCGCATTTTAAAATTCATCATCTTGTCTGTCCACGGCAGGAGTGTGGAAGACTCGGGAAGCGTGGCTCCCCCTTAAGCTATATCACTTCCAGGGTGACCCTCTGGATGCTAAAGCAGTATTGTCATGTATGGAACGACCTTTCGCGCTCTGAACAGTCACCAGTAATAAATGTTACATGCTTGGAGATCCTGGCCGTATTAGGAGAAAAGGAAGCAGGGCTGGCAAATACCCTCTTGCCTGCTTTTGACTCGGCGACGGCCACTACCACTTTTCTAACAGCTTTCTAATAGCAAAATGTATTTGGGAGCAACAGTGGAATTTGTGTCATCATGACCAAATGATTACGGTGCCAACCCGAGATTCTTGTGGGGCCCAGCAGGCTCCCGGTCCCTATGGAAACGAGACCTCAGAGATGGTCCTCCACTCAGCTGGAGGACGAGCGCCGGGAGGCTTTTGTGCTGGGTGAGATTTCTTCCCCAACCTTCCCGCTGCAGACCCCAGCGCTTCCTCGCTGCTCCTTTCTAATTGAGATGCAAATTAAGCTCTCTGGCTGATTACACTTCCCTTAAAGCAAGTGACAAATGCAGCTGTAACCAGAGTTTGCGGACTTTCCAACAAGTGACGTCAGCTGCCAGTATTTGCATGCCCAGCTCAGGCCCAGCCCTGCTCTCCTCCAGGTCTGAGACAGAGAGAGAAGGGGAGAGGAAAAGAGAGGGAGAGGGAGAAAAAGAGAGAGGGAGAGAGAGAAAGAGAGAGAGGGAGAGGGGGAGGGAGAGAGAGAGCCAGCGAGCGAGCCAGCGCGGGCTTTCTTCAGGCCTTGCAAGCATTTTATTTCCTATAAAATTTACATACAATTAAGAGTCAAAACAAAAACAACCCCAAGCCTACAGCGGAATCCCTGGGATTCAGTGCTGCTACCTACTCCGTACCTGACGCTGCAGGAGGCCGTGGCCTTGACAGTGACAATAACGTTTCCTTCCCCTTTCAACCTGCCAGTTTCTGGACTTTAGCAGTGTTCCATTCAGATCTCTCTCTCTCTCTCAAAAACTAAAAAAATAAATGTAGCATTGTTAGGAGGTCGGAAAACTAAACAGGCTCCCGTAAGAGTCTTAATTTCAAAACCAAACATAAAAGTCACCATTCTAATTGTGTCCTTCAATAACTTTCTGGGTTGTTATGGAAATTCACATAAAATCTATTTTTCCAGTAAAAATTTCAACTTTTTTTTTTCTAACTCTTGAATAATACTATCTATGTCCACAGGAACTTCGAAAAGTTTGTGGAAATTCAGGCCCCAAAATAAGTTTATCTTGGTGCAAAAAAATAATTCATGCAGACAGCAGGGTGGGGGGTGGTCTTCAAAAAGTTCACAGGAAATATGTATTGTGAAAAAATTATGCATGGGCTTCAAAATTTTTTGCATTAAAATAAACTTATTTTTCATTTTTTATTTTTTTATTTTTATTTTTTGACAGGCAGAGTGGACAGTGAGAGAGAGAGAGAGAGAGAGAGAGAGAGAAAGGTCTTCCTTTTTTTGCCATTGGTTCACCCTCCAATGGCCACCACGGCTGGTACGCTGCAGCCGGCGCACCGCGCTGATCTGATGGCAGGAGCCAGGTACTTCTCCTGGTCTCCCATGGGGTGCAGGGCCCAAGCACTTGGGCCATCCTCCACTGCACTCCCTGGCCACAGCAGAGAGCTGGCCTGGAAGAGGGGCATCCGGGACAGAATCCGGCGCCCCAACCGAGACTAGAACCCGGTGCCAGCACCGCTAGGCGGAGGATTAGCCTAGTGAGCCGCGGTGCCAGCCAAAAAATAAACTTATTTTTCAATCACATTTTCCTCAATTTTTTGGAAATACCTTGTATGCTTACCAACAGTTCACTTGAGAGCTATTTACTGAGTACCTCCTATGTATCAGGTGCAGCTTTAAGTTACGGCTGTGAACATTCAGAAATGGACTTAAACATAAACATACACACAAAGATGCATAGATATTCTCTGAAGAGAGCTCTATTTCACCTTGGACAGTTTAGGTTTTAAATTTCAAAAACATTTGTAATTTTATAAAATACTTGGCTTTTGTCCTGTAATTCTTCTTTTGCAAAATTTTAATTTATTTACTTGAGGGACTGAGACAGAGAGAGAGAGAGAGAGAGAGAGAGAGTAAGCTCTCATCCAGTAGTTTACTCCCCAAATGCCTGCATCAGCCGGGGCTGGGCTAGGCCAAATTTAGGAACAAGGGAATTCAATCCAGATCCCCCCCACCCCCACCCGATGTGGGCAGCAGGAACTCAATGACTGGAGGCTTCACTTTCTGCTTCCCAGGACCTGCAATGGCAGGAAGCTGGAGCCAGGAGCCAGGTATTGAACCCAGGTACCCAGATATGGGATGAAGGCATCTTAATTGCTGCGTTAAGCAACCACCCCTTCTCTTCTAATTGTTTTCCAAAATGTTTTTCAGCAAACTGGCCCCTCTCATTTCCCTCCCTCCGTCCCTCTCTGCCTTTACCCGCAAAAGACTCCTAAAGCAAGAGAGGGCCATCAGTAGAATGGAATCCAGATTCTACTGCAACCGCCATGGTACAATCGGGAGTTAGGCTGCTGCGGGAGCACCGCATCCAAACCCTAGCCTGGCAGGGGAGAGTCGCTGGCAGGGGCGGGAAAGGGCTCCGTGCCACAGGGGAGACTCACGTGTGGTGGGGGTCAGCACACAGAGGAGGACTGGCAGTGAGACAGGTGACCCACTGAGGACCAAGCAGAGCGAGTGGCAAGAGAGGAAGGCCGGATTGTTCTGGGTACTTCCCTGGGCTCAGCACCAGCCTGGTTTCTCCACAGAGTGTCAGATTTATACTAACTTTTCTTGTGGGGATGGTCTTTTTGTCCAACAGGGTTAAGTCCCTGTATAGCAGAAGTGGCAAAACAGGTGCTACTTGCCCACCCAGAAGATTCCAGCCTATGCCCTACTTCATTTCTGTACACTAAGGGCAGGGGGGCAGCTCTGGCTGTGGGGAGCCAACCTCAGGCACCGAGGCCCTTCCACGAGTCACTGAAGGAAGAGCAGTCTCCCAGCCTTTATTTTAACACCTATGAGAGCAACAGAAAACAGTCCCTGAGACAACCTCACAGTTGCATGGCTCCAGTTTCATAACAGAGGGTTGAAATGCCAATATTGGGGCCAGTGCTAGGGCATAGCAGGTAAAGCTGCCAATCGTATGGGTGCTGGTTTGAGTCCTAGCTGCTCCACTTCTGATCCAGCTCTCTGCTATGGCCTGGGAAAGCAGTGGAGCATGGCCGGAGTGCTTGGGCCCCTGCACCTGTGTGAGAGACCTGGAAGAAGCTCCTGGCTCCTGATCGACTCAGCTCCAGCTGTTGAGGCCATTTGGGGAGTGAACCAGCAGATGGAAGACCTCTTCTCTGTCTCTGTCTGTAACTCTGCCTTTGAAATAAATAAGTAAATCTTAAAAATAAAGCCAAAATTTAGGGAGCCTGGCTGATAATGTGAGGATAGCAACTGTAGGTAGCACTGGGCTCTCACCCAGGGCCAGGCACTGTTTTACCTGCCTGGGAGCTACTCAGCCCTCTCTCTCTCAGATATCAGCTGGTGGGATGCCAGGGTGGTGGTGCTGGCACCAGGCCTCAGCACTGGCAGACACCAGTCTGTGGTCTTTGCGAGGGCACTTGCCTGGTAAGAGGCTGATTACTGCTAGCAAAAAGGGAAGCCCAGTGGGCCAGGTGTTCTGATTCTTCAAGAGTTGTTAAAAAAAAAATCTAGATTTGTAGGGGATGGGCATTTGGCCTAATGGTGTCAACACCAGCATCTCATGTGGATGTGCCTGGGCTTGAGTCCTGGTTCTGCTCTTCATTCAGCTTCCTGGTATTGCAAATCCTGGGAGGTAGCAGGTGATGGCTCAAGTTAGGTGGGTCTGTGGCTTATGGCTTCAGCTTGGGCCAGCCCTGGCCAATGCAGGCATTTGGGGGAGTGAATCAGTGGATGGGAACTCTCTCTGTCTTCTAAAAAGAAAAAAAAGAAATAAAGAAAATCTAGATTTTTGTTTTACATGTAAAATCTGCCCATTTGTCAATGTGGCTGACAAACTCAGTTTTTTAGTTTTTGTTTTTGGGTAATGCGAGGAGGCCAAGTGCAGCTCAAACAAAGCCCACCTGGGGGACGGATCTGGGCTGCAGGCAGCTGGTCTGTCGGCTCCGGTTAGTGAACCTCTGCCTTGACCTTGAACTGAAGCTGTGTGCTGGCTGCCTCTGTCCGTTGACGGGTCCCACTTCTGCAGACTGGGCCCCTCTTTAGAAACCTCCCAGGATCCTGCAACACCCCCTGCTTGGTTTCCATGGCTCTCGGACACCTGAGCACAACTTCCGTGGACTGGCTGCAGATCGGCAGCAAGGCGCTGCTGAGGTGCTCCCCGCGGCTGTGGGAGCACAGGAATGATGCCCCAGCTCCTGTGAACAGACTTCATGGTGTCTCATCTCCCATGTTTGGGCAACCCTGATCCTCCGACGCAGCTCATAACAACTGCCATGAAGCTGCGTCGCCCTCATCCCCTGCATACACCCCTGCGAATCCAAGCACCTGACATTCCTTTCTGGAAGTCTCCTCTGTTGAGATAATCCTAACTTCTGACATGGCCTAATGTGTGTCAAACTACTTAACCCTCTCGATTTTCTAACATGTTCTACACCTTTGATAAATGTGTTCCAGGTGTTTTTGAAAGTTACTGATGAAACTGTTCAATGGAGGAGGAGTTGGGCAAAGCCAGGGCACAGAAATGACACCAGAGACACAAAGCCCCAGGCCAGTAGTGGCCCAGGAATTCATTAATGCATGTCAGGTTTTGGCCATCATCAAGTCATGTGGCTCTCAGGGGCTCTGAGCCCTCTCTTTGTCAGATGACCATGAGGCTTCATCATAGATTATAGCAAAATTCAGGTTTGTAAGCTTTCTACTCTCTGAAAATAGCAATCTCACCCAGCACAGTAGGCTCACTTCAGTCCTGTGAACATTCTTTCTAGAAGGTTCACAAGCTATTTAATTATCTACTATAACAATTGTATAAGACATCTAGGCAACATTGTAAAAATCACCATTTAATCTGTTTGAAAATGAGGAAATTTTTTTTGTTTGCGGTTTTGGGTATAGACTTCATTTTACACGATTTCTAAAAAAAAATGGTTCGTATGGTTTGGAGATCAGTGCTGCAAATTTGTTCTGGAACAAACTGGTGGCCCTGAAGACTGGACCTTACTCGCAGAGGTCAGTTCATTTTTCTGTTCTTATTGTATTCACAAGGATGTGACTTTTAACTCACCCACTGAGACACCTCTCTGTCCCTTCTCCAAGAACAGGTGACCCAGGAGGACAGCCACTGAGATCCTGGTTAACAGGGTCGACCTGATTAGGGCAGAGTGAGGAGTTCTCTTGTTCATCTTGATGTAACAGAGACTACCACCTGGTATACCTGCACTGGCTGCTCTTCCATGCCTCCCACTTTTCTTTCTCACATAAGTAATTTTAACTTTATAATTAAAAAAAACTCACTCAACCTCCCCAGGGGAATATATCATTTCTTCCTCTCAACTCTACTTTTTGTAATATGCTTCCCAAATGTCCAAAGTACAGGCCTATTTGTGTTTTTTCCTCCCATTTTTACAGTCTAGTACAAACTCATTATTTTCTGTAACATTCAAAGTTACAAATTTATGCTTTTTGGTAGCTAAGAAATGGATCCAAAATAGTAGTTTCTCTCCTCAGTCTTCTGCAAGGTGAAATTGTTTGCCATCCAAGAGTTTATCAGATGTTTGTCTCCCTTAGCGGAATCTACCTTGGAGTGAGTGCATTGATGTCAAGGAGAAATCCCCATGGCAGCTGTCATTTGCTTTGGGCCCACTGGGAAATCTGGGTGGGGAAAGCACTGCCCTCCTCTCCCCTCAGGGGTCGGACTCCATTCTGGCCCCTGATCTCAGATCCAGGCCCTCTCCTGTTCATCTGGGGCTCACAGGCACTCTGATCCCATTCAGTATTTTTTCTTTTTGGTGCTGTCATTGTCTGCTCTTTTTTTCACCTCTTCCCTTGCACTATCAATTCTTGCTCCTCTTGTACCCAATTCATCAGTTGAAAACTTGAGGCTGCCGGCACCGGTCACAGATGAGGCCGTCCAAGAAGAGACGTCTCGCTTGCCTGGTCTGCTGAGTATGACCCGTCACTTCTCTCCTCCCTGCTTTTCTGAGAAATCATTCTCTCCTTTTCCTTTGCTTCCATTTCTGCCTCCTCCTCCCAAGCCTGCTCTTCAAATGCTGATGCTACAGAGGGTTCTGATTGGGATTCTCTTATCACCCCCTACACCCCAGCAAACCCAGCAGGTCCCACGCTGAAATCAGTCCATCTCCTTTCCATATGCATCCAATCATCCACCTGCCACCACCTCAGATTAGGCTCCCACTGTCTCACAACTCCTTCCATGCGCCTTAAATGCTTTTATCACTTCCATCCTGTGTGTGTGTGTGTGTGTGTGTGTGTGTGTCTGTCCTATACTGTGCCATATGGTAGCTTCTGCTATTATCAAGTGTAATGTGCTCTTTCAGAGCCTGGCTCGTGAACAAATATTGTCCCTTCACATGGAATATCTTATTCATATTTCTATTACAAGTGGCTAGGACAGTGTCTAGCAGAGTGTGGCACAGTATGGTAGGGACAATGTAAATGTTGACAAAAGCATAAGTGGTTTTGTATGGCAAAATACAACACATGGTACCATCTGACTTTATTTTTTTTTTTCTGAAGCGTATGGAAATGAATGGAAGGAATCAAGGTCTGCAGGAAAAAGAACCAAAGATCCCACTGGAGAAGAAACAGGGTTGTTGCAGCTTTAGGGAGAAGGGCCATTTGTGAAGATGTGGAAATTGGGAGAATTTAACACCGATGTTACAAATGTGTGGGTCCAACAGAGAGGCTCTGATATTATCGAATGATCTGCTAATTGAAAATGAAACTATATCTCACTTGTGAAAGAATAGGTGCAAAATCGCTTCTTCTTAGGCAGTCCAGTCCTCTCCATCAAATGCTGATAGTTCCACAGAGTCGCGATGTTGAATGCCATTGAGACTATTGTTCTATTGAAGTGAACGTTTACTTTAAAAGGCCACCATCTGTTTGATTCAGGGTGAACTCCTCCTAATGGGCACACTGCATATTGTGTGGCAACCTTTTCTCCTGAAACAAGTTATCTGGCGAGGAGACTCAAAGCCCTGGCTTATGCGGTTTTGGAAATGTCTATCGGCTGACCATGGTTTGATTTTGGAATCCTTAGTTGGCTTGGGAACTGCAAACAGGACATGTGGCAAGCTTCCCGTTGACAACATCCTAGGCACAGGAATAGGCCCTCTGCTTGCCCAGGAGGGACGGAAAAAGCAGATGGCAGGTGAACTGGGCCCCCATCACTCACAAGAGCAGTGGCCACAGGATGAAGGCTACACACAACAGATTTGATTTAGCCCGCTGAGGAAGTTATAGGAAATCTGGGGGAACAATGGGGCTAAGCTAAAATGTTACTGAGGGTGCTTTCCAAACATGAATATACTGGGGTCACTTTTTTTTGGATCATGTAAGATAATAATAGTTTTCATTGCTGTATGTGCCTTTGCCATGTAGTTCTAACCATCTCATTGGCTAGCCAAGGCTACCCCAGACAGCAACTCCTTAGATACTGATTATAAGTTGGATTTACTGCTCAGAAAGACCCCTGAAAGGCAAAATTGCTCCAGCAGTGGCTCCAGTCCTCACCTTCATGAGAAACGGTGTGTTTTCTTGAACAGTACTGAACAAAATCAGTACGCATCTCCCTGTGTTTCAAACTACTTAACCCTCTCGATTTTCTAACATGTTCTACACCTTTGATAAATGTGTTCCAGGTGTTTTTGAAAGTTACTGATGAAACTGTTCCATGGAGGAGGAGTTGGGCAAAGCCAGGGCACAGAAATGACATCAGAGACACAAAGCCCCATGCTGATTACATGAAACTGAATTCCAACTGACACTACTGTTAAATATCAGTCATTAGCTGGGGAAGAGCCAGGGAGACAACTACCCCAGTGGAATTCCACTGGCTCGTCATTCCTCACCAGGCTCAGTGTTTGGCTAGGTGTGCGTACGACTGAGTCAGAAAAGCAAGAGCTTCCTCTCTAAAGGATTTATAGGACAGTAACAAGTCTTTTGTCCACAGCAACGTCATCCTGATACCCAGAAAATAAGTGGTATTTGGAAAAGAAAAATAGCAGCTTGGCAATGTTCTTTTTTCTTTTTTTTTTTTTTTTAACAGGCAGAGTGGACAGTGAGAGAGAGAGAGACAGAGAGGAAGGTCTTCCTTTTGCTGTTGGTTCACCCTCCAATGGCCGCCGCGGCCGGCGCGCTGTGGCCGGCGCGCTGCGGCCGGCGCACCACGCTGATCCGATGGCAGGAGCCAGGTACTTATCCTGGTCTCCCATGGGGTGCAGGGCCCAAGTACTTGGACCACCCTCCACTGCACTCCCTGGCCACAGCAGAGAGCTGGCCTGGAAGAGGGGCAACTGGGACAGAATCCGGCGCCCTGACTGGGACTAGAACCTGGTGTGCCAGTGCCGCAAGGCGGAGGATTAGCCTAGTGAGCCGCGGCGCCGGCTGGCAATGTTCTTAAAAATGGTAATCTAAGCACCAGGACCAAAATGGGGACCTGGGGTTGCCCATATAAGGTGGCCCACATTGACAAAGGAAGTTCCCTTTCTTGTCAGCACTGAATCTAGTATTTTCCAAAGGAACAGGTAATAGGAATTCTTTTTCAGATTTTTTTCTTTAATGAGTCTTGGTTTGAAAACCCAGGGCAATTTTGCTGAGAACTACGTGCCAGGCTACAGGTAGGGACTCCGTTCTACTAAACACCCATGAACAGAGTTCCCCAGTGGACTCTGGGAGGGTCAGCATGGGCGTGCGGCCCGAGCAGCTGCACATGGGAAGCGTGCTACCTCCAAGACAGAGCATCTGCGGGCACCGACTAGCCTGAGCATCCCATGTTCCTCTGAATCCAAACTGGCTTTCAAGGCAAAAAGCAAGCAGCAGTGCCCTAAGAAGCACGAACAAGGCGCCCTGCCACGTCCTTTCTGAGTTGTTCTACAGTAGTCAACAACTTTGAAAATGATGACACAGAAGCAATGTAAAAGCAGGGTGACCCAGAGTCTCTTTTCCTATAAATCCTCCTTTACTCAGCAATAAATTGATGGCAACAATTGATACACACATGCACATACACACACTCCCATATACGCTAAGAAATAGGAATTGTGTAATTTCAGCGGTCACATATATGAGTTAAATGTTTACATGTACATATTAAATTGGTATTATACAATATAAAGAATGGTAGAATTAATGCTAAAATTTTAAATATTTCCTTACTCAGAATAACACTAAATAGCAAATAAAAAATACAGTAAGAGGGGGCCAGCATGGTAGCACTGGGAGTTAAACTCTGGCCTGTGGTGCTGGTATCCCGTTTGAGGACTGGTTCTAGTCTCAGCTGCTCCACTTCTGATCCAGCTCCCTGCTAATGCACCTGGGAAGAGAGTGAAAGTTGTCATGGGAGATCTGGATGGAGTTCCAGGCTCCTGGCTTCAGCCTGGCCCAGCCCAAGCTGTTCTGGCCATTTGGGAAATGAACCAGTGTTTGGAAGATTTCTCTCTCTGACTCTCCCTCTCTCTCTTGCTCTCTCTGTAAATCTGCCTTTTAAATCAATAAAATAAATATTTAAAAAATTTTGAGAAGAAAGAAAATGCAAAAGAAGGAAAAAAGCTTTATATGTTGGCACCTTTGTTAAGGGCATTTTTCCGTGCTTTCTTTCCAAAGGGGGCTCACGCTTGCATTCTGCACCGGGACCCTCGGGTTAAGTAGCAAGCCCTGGATCCATGTGTGTCCAAGGTGCTGAGGGTCTGTTCAGGCCTCAGGGTGCTTGCAGGGCCTTGGAGGCTGGCCCCTCTACCAGGCAGCCCCGGGGGTTCACCCCAGCATGCTGTACTAAGATAAGAACTCTGAAGGCAGGCAGGAGGACGAAGGGTCTGGACAGCTCAGCTCTCTTGGGAATCACCTCTGCTGGGAGCTGGCTTTTGGGTCCATCACAGGAACCATGGACTTGAACATGCGCACAGTTCCTTCAGAACACAATTTCACCTGTGAGGGCCTGAGTCCCTGCGCTCCTGCCAGGCATACCATCCTCTGCTAGGAACAGCATCCCTGGGCTCTGAGGACGGCTGCTCTCTCTTCCCTCCGGTCTCAGCCCAAACACTCTCTTCTCAGAGAAGCCATTTCTTCCTACACCCCAGCTCTCTACTTGGTTTCTCTACAGAACTTCAGCTGTTGCGGACTTTGTACACCTATCAGGTTGTTCTTCTCTGGGAAGCCCCTGGGCAACGAATGTGTAGGCTAAGAACCTAATCTGTCCTGCTCTCTGCTGCAGCCCCAGCTCCTAGCCCTGGACTTGATGGCCAGTGTGTCCACAGTACCTGTCCATTTGGTGAGTGAATAAATTTAATTAGATGCCCGCAAATAGAATTTGTCAGATTATTCGGTGCTTTTCCAAAAGTCCAATTTAAGACCTGTTTCAAGGAAGCAGCGAATTTCAGCCATTTGCCATGATGCTATCAAATGACTTTCACAAAAGCCTGTGTGGACCTGAATGTTTTAACAAAACATTTTACAAGGAATTAATGAACTGGCACACGCACACATATGCACACACACACGTACTCAACCACCCACCTACACAGAGTTTTGAAAATCAGTCACCAGTATTTCAAAGAAAAAAATTTAGACTCTCTAATAGTAGCTCTTCTGTAGACAGAAATTAAAGAACAGAGCAAATGACTGCAAAGTTTTCCCACTGAAAATTGCTCTACAAAAAGTTATACATAACAGCTGATTTCTTGTTTTACATATGGATTTGAATAGCATCAAGTGAATCTTCTCAGGGTATAATGCAAAAAATATTTAAAACTTTTATAATGATCAGCATCATAGGTGTTGTGAGTTTCTTCCTTCATCTGGTACCAAGTTGTCCTCTGAGATGCCAAATTGGCTATTTTGTGAATTAACTTGGAGAAAAGCATTTATTAACCCACATTAACATCAGTAGCCCTCGCTGGCATCCACATTAGTCCTGATGTGATTGCCTGGAAAGTTTTTTAAAGTCAGACTGAATACTAGTACTTGAATTTTTGAAAATATTTCCTCCCAAACCTGATTGCTCCAGTGGTGTGATGTTAATTGAAGTGTCTGACAAATTAACAAGGCATGGATTTTACAAGGAGAAGCTTGGTAAGTGGAGAGTGGCAAAAATCGCAGTGGACTAAACTCGCACGAAATGGCATTTCCTTATTTGCAAATCCTTTTTCATTGCCTTGGCCCAGCATAACTTGACTGATGGGTGTCCTCCAGCTCATCCCACTTGACATGAAACTGACAAGGTAATCACAGGATGGGACTTGTTCGTTTTTGCCAAGAAGTCCTTTTTTCTACAGTGCATGAAATAAAGACTCCATGCTGAAGGCTGAATTGATACCAGCTCTAAGATTAAGCCTAGAGTGCTGTGGAAATCACTCCGAAGAATGGCATCTCCCAAGCACTCCCCAACAGCCTGGACAAAGCACGGGGGAGGACGCTGAAGGGAATGATGCTGGCTTGGCCCCGGGGGGAAGGACCAGATGGGACCTAATAGCTCTTTTCTACTACTAATTTCTATGATAATTCTACGTTGCCACATGGCATATGTATTTTTTTTTTTAATCTAAAGGCAGAGTATCAGTCAATGAAGTGACTAGGATTTTAATGAAAGGTATTTTTCATGCACTGTATCTATTCACACATATTTCTTACCCACCACCCACCCACCATCCCCACTGGCTCACAATACATCATTTACTATTAGGTTAGGAGAAGTAGACAGAGAGGCCCAAACACTGCATGTTTTGCATCGTTATCAATACTAATGAGACACAAAGAGAGTCTAAGTTTTATTAGGAACTAAGATGCCTTGTGCAGCAATTTTATAGTCACTCACCTTAATCTCCTTTTCTTATAATTGGGGATTATGCTTGGATTTAAGGATTACACCATGCCAATTAGCATTTGAGAAAAAAAAATTACAAGTGTGAAATTTTTAGATCTTTTTAGAGAAAACGTTAATGACTTGGGAAAATTAGAGAAGTCCTAGCCATTCTTACGGGTAAGTCGAAAGAGAACTTCTCCCTCTTCCTGAGCAGATGCTATTTGCCTTCCTCTGACCTCCCAGAACTCTATTTGCACTTCTCAGTGGCACTGGCCACGTCCTCTGATTTATTACAGTCATTTCATTTGCTTCTGGTATCTGTTAGGCGTTACGTTTCGCTCAGCATCCACGCTCTCCACCAGGGGCTGTGACACACAGGCAACATAAAGGAACAGACTGAACTTGAAGGGGAATAACCCTAAGAAGATATACACACCTCACCATGGGTGCATTGTCCTAGACACACACACGCAGGTAAGCTTTGAAAATAAACCCTTCCTAAGTTCAGTGCAGCACAACATTGTTCTATTTAATATAAAATAACACACGATACGAAAAGCACACGAATGTGACTGTCACTATAGACTGAAAAAAAAAAATGCTCTCGTCTCCCTTCAAGGCAGTTTTTCATGCTTACCTCTCACAGCAGACTGCCAGGAGTCTCAGTTCTGGTGTGGCTAATGTGTTACTTATTTAAAGCAAAAAGATACAAGCTCTGGTAAAGCGGGATGAGGCACTTCACAGCTCGGCTGGCGTTGATGCACGTGGCGCAGATGAGGCTGGGCAGCAGCTTCCCGCTCACTATGGCGCCGTCAAACAGAGGTCCAAAGAATGGAACCTGTAGATTTGAAACAGCAAAACGATTTTCAAAAACTGGTAAAAATCAAACCAAAGAACAGGAGAACAGCTGAGTGAAGTCTCAGACGCACAGTGAGCTTATTAACAGGCTGCAGACCGAGGGCTCTCCAACCAAGGGAAGCAGGACTGCTCGGGACGTTCCTCTATTAGGAACTTTCCAGCAAGACTTGTAAGGAGAAATTCTCACTGGGTTCCGGGGTTTTTTTTATGTTTGCATTTGCAGAAATACCATTATTCTTCCTGTGTGCCTACATCATGTGGACCACGCAAGGTACAAGGATGTGCTTCGCTGCACATCACTAGGCTGGCAACCCCCTGACACCAGCCGTGGAACTGGTCAGGTCCCCGGCTTAGGTCCCCATGCATATCAACTTGTCAATGGAGAGGATGATTATCCCCATCAACAGCCACTCGGTCCTGCTTACAGTCCGCATTCTTCTTGAACTTTCTGTCCTCCCTTCCTGTCTCCAAGATTCTGCCTTATCCTATCCTCATCTCCTTCTGCTTCTTTAACAGAGACTTGGCTTTCTTTCAATGGACCCATTTTACCATGTGGGTAGCCCATGAAGCTTTCATGCCTGCTTCTTCTTCTTCTTCTTTTTTTTTTTTTTAGGATTTATTTATTTATTTGAAAGGTAGAGTTTCAGAGAGAGAGAGAGAGAGAGAGAGAGAGATCTTCCATTTGCTGGCTCACTCCCCAAAAGGCCACAACAGCCAGGGCTGCGCCAGACTAAAGCCAGGAGCCGAGAGCCTCTGCCAGGTCTCCCACGTGGGTGGCAGGAGCCCAAGCACTTGGACCACCTTCTGCTGCTTTCCTAGGCACATCAGCAGGGATCTGGATTGGAAGCGGAGCAGTCAGGACCTTAATCTGCTACTCCACAGCGCTGTCTTTTTTAGAGATCTCCTCTCTCTCTCTCTCTCATTCTCTCTCTGGATTTCATTTACCCCAATCACTAATATGGAGACTGTTAGCTACATGAGACCAAAGACTGGGTCTTCCCTATAACTCTTTTATTTTTTTAAATTGAAACCTTTTATTTAATGAGTACAAATTTCTTAAGTACAACTTTAGGAATATAGTGGTTCTTCTTCCCATACCCGCCCTCCCACACCCATTCCCATCCCACCTCTTCCTCCCTCTCCCACCCCATTCTTCATTAAGATTAGTTTTTAATTAACTTCATATACAGAAGACCAACTCTATACTAAGATTTCTACAATCTGTGCCCTATAACTCTTACATTATTCTTTGTCACTTATTCATTTATTACATTACTATTTCAGTCACTTGTTCATTTGTTGACAAAATATTTTTATTCACTGGAGACACAGTGGAGAATAATTTTAAAAATCCATGATTTCACTGAGTTCAAAGTTTTGTTGAAGATTTTAGAGAATGAACAATATAAACACATAAAATATATGAATATGTGAAAGTATCAAGATGAAAAATAAAGTGTGGAAAAGCACTAGGACTTATAATTATTTTTTTTCTTTAGGGAGGGGAGAGTATCACTAATTACATCAAATGGCCAGGGAGGGCTGTAGGGAAGGAAGGCATTGCAGCACAGATCTAAAAGGAAAGGAGGAGACACAGGTTATGATGCTATCTGTCAGGAGGAACAACAAGCGCACAGCCTCGTGGTCAGAGCACAGCTAGTACTGTTTAAGCGACAGTGTGGACTCCATGATGGCCGCGGCCAGGTGCAGGTGAGTAAAAGGAAGAACACACGATGAGAGTTGGACAGATGAAAACAGTGGTTGGGGCTGGCGCTGTGACACAGCAGGCTAAGCTTCTGTGTGCTGTGCTGCCATCCCATATGGGCGCCGGTTCAAGTCCTGGCTGCTCCACTTGTGATCCAACTCTCTGCAACGGTCTGGGAAATCTGTGGAAGATGGCCCAAGTGCTTGGGCTCCTGCACCTGTGTGGGAGACCCGAAAGAAGCTCCTAGCTCCTGGCTTCAGATAAATCCATCCTCGGCCATTTGGGGAGTGAACCAGCAGATGGAAGATCTCTCTCTCTCTCCCCTTTTTATCTCTGTCTTTCAAATCAATAAATCTTAAAAAAAAAAAAAAGTGGTCTCATAGGAAACTATAAGCACTCTGTATTTCTGCTCTGAGTAAGAAAGAAACTCTCTGGAAGGTGTTGAAAAGTGTATGGGGGAGTAGGATCTAACCTACATTTTAAAGGTACTGTTCTGGCTACTGAAGTTGGGCAAACTGCCGAGAGAAATTATGGAGACCAGCTGGGGAACTACTGAATCGCCCAGGCGAGGGATGGTGATTCAGGCTTGAATGAGAATGGTGGCAGGAGATCTGGGGAGAAGTGGGGGGGGGAGGGAAATCCCTGGATATATTTTCAAAGTACAGTGGGTGGGATTTGTTAAGGATTGTAAATGAGGTACGAGAGACAAGCAAGATGCCAGGGTCTCTGGCCTGGCAACTGGAAGGCAGGAACTCCAGGCGCCAGGAAGACTGAGAGGGAGGCTCATGAGTTCAGTTGCAGATGTATGCTAAGTTAGAGACGCTTATTAGGTGTCTCGTGGGGACGTATTGAGGAAGTAGTGGATACATCCAGGCTGGAAGCCACAGTAGAGGACAAGGTTGGAGACCTAAGTATAAGAGCTGTTCATTTATAAATGGCAGATGATATATCCAACATACATGAGATGATATCTACAATGTTGGAGGTGGGGACATGAGAAGCTACTGGTAAAGGAAACAGAGAAGTAGCTGGAGACAGAGGAGGAAAACCTCCAGGGGTAGCACTGTCGCTGATATGAAGCTGGAATGCAAGCACCCAGTGAATGAGTGAAATTAATCAATATTTCAAAGAATTTAAATGAATGAATGTGGGTCTTCAGCCTAATTCCTTAAAAAAAAATAAGACTTGTTGATATATTTGAAAGGCAGAGCAACACCGGGGGGCAGGGAGCTCTTACATCTACTGATTTGCTCCCCAAATAGCCACAACAGCCAGGGATGGTCCAGGCTGAAGCCAGGAGCCAGGAGCTCGATCCCGGTCTCCCACCTGGGTGGCAGGGACTGAAGTACTCGCGTCATCAACTGCTGCCTTCCCAGGCACGTCAGCGGGAAGCTGCACTGGAATTGTAGCAGTGTTAAGGGACGCAGCTGAATCCACTGCGCCACAGGGCTGTTCCCACCAGCTCAGCCTTTGAATTTCTCTCAATGACTACTTTTGTTTGTTAAAACACCTTTTCTGTGGTTGGCAATGGGGAGGGCCTTGGGACACAAGAGCGATCGAAAGACTGTCTCTGCACCTAAAGATGTTCGTGTTTCAGTTCAGGAGTGAAGTTCCACTGCAAGGCAGCCGCATTCATTCATTTACTTACTGCTCCATGTAAACGTCTTTCACGCGCTAAGGGCTGGTGAGCCATGGCCACTGGCATGAGAGGTAAAGTTATAGACAGAGAGAGGGAGAGACAGAAAGAAAGGGAGTGTATCCACTGGTTTACTCCCCAAATGGCCACAATGGCCGGAACTGGACCGATTTGAAGCCAGGAGCCAGGAGCTTCTTCTGGGTCTCCCACATGGGTGCAGGGGCCAAGTACTTGTGCCATTTTCTGCTGCCTTCCCAGGTCATAAGCAGAGAGCTGGACTGGAAGAGGGGCATCTGGGACGTGAACTGGCATCCACTGGGATCCCAGTGCCACAGGCAGAGGCTTAACTTACTCTGCTACAGCACCAGCCCAATGGTCAGAATTAGTAAGAGGAGTTTTTTTTTTTTATCAAAGTCAATAAATATAGAATAAATTCACACACACACACACACACACACACACTACTTACTACATTTCTGTCCAGCAGCAACAATTGGCTTGAAAAGGAAATATTATGTACAACAGCATAAAAACATGAAATCCACAGGAATAGATCTAACAAGGAAAGTATAAAGAAAATTGCAAAACATATGAGAGGTATTCAGGTAGTCTAAAGTAATGGAAGAATACTGTTTATGGACTAGAAGTCTCAGTATTGTTGTCATTTCTCTTCTCAGACTGAGCTATGGATCGAATGCAAGGTGTTTATGTATTTTTAAGTGCTGACTATAAAATGTTCATAGAATGAAAGAGGCTAAGAAAAGACAAAGTGTTACTGAGGAAGAACTAGGTAGGACCTGCCCTACATTACAGCTAGACAGATCCTAAGCTGTAATAGGGAATGTGATAAAGGCACAGAGGACCAGTAGAGACAAAGGGAGAGGCACGCAGTAGGTATGGTGATGGTCAAAAACTCATTTATTGAGCTAACTGGGAAACCTTGCCCTGCAGGATACAGATACTGGCCTTTAAATACAGTGTATCCATGGGCCCAGGCATGAAAACATGGTGGCGCTTCTCCCATAACCAGACTATGCAGATCCAGGTACAGGAAGGTGGGGAAGAGTACCTCTCATTCTACTCCTCCTGACTGGCATACGTTAGTTTGTCTCCTGTTCCTATGATATCAGTCTCTGATTTTAGCTTTCAGTACCTAAGGGAGCCACGCTTATACCACAAGAAGACACTGTGCTCTTCTAACTTGCAAGTGGAGCTGTCCTTGGCTGCTTGAAGGAAAAACAGTGTTGCTGCTGCACACAATAGGAATGAGGAAAGCGGTTCTCCTGGAATGCCCCCGGCTGACTATGTGCTCAACAGTGAACGCGCTGTCCCCCCCACATCCTCAACAGCTTTTATTGTTTGTTGGTTTCTGTATGAGAACCATTCTAATTGGGGTGAGGTGAAACCTCATTTTGGTTTTGATTTGCATTTCTCTCATGGCTAGTGATCCTGAGCATTCTTTCACGTATCTGTGGGCCATCTGAATTTCCTCTTTTAAAAAATGCCTGTTCAAGTCCTTTGCCCATTTCTTAATTGTTTTGTAGTTGGTGAGTTTCTTGAGCTCTTTAGATCCCTTCATCAGTTGCATAGTTTGCATGTATTTTCTCTGAGTTGCCTCTTCACTTTGCTGAGTGCTTCT